TCAACATATAGGATACTTTTTACTGCGGGAAAATATCTCATCTCTGAGTAATCTATACTAAACGTTAAAAATTAAGTAGGGACGAACCCGAGCGGAGCGAAGGTGAGTCGCTAGTTAATAATAATTTAAACATTACTTTATAAATAAAGAACCTATTACAGATGGATTACGTTATTTTATAATTAGAACAAATTTAATCCAAACAATGGAATATACGACCATTAACACAAAGAGGTTATTATTTTAACGTATTGACAAGTTTTTTTTATGAACACGATTTCTTAATATCATTTTTACTCGCATCGTAAGAATATTTTTGTCTTTATATTTACGTAGTAGCGCAACTGCAGCAATGTTATTTAATGTCCAAAACCCTAAACTAAGCAGTGAAATATCCACAAAAATAATGTACATAGCATAGAATAATATTTATTTTTAAAATCGGAAAATATTCAACGGAAACGAAGATGAAATTTACTAAAAAAATCTTAATATTTAATTGATAAATAATTGCAATACAGAAAAAAAAGGTTACCTGAACAATAGAAATACATTTTTTGTGTTACAATGTAAAATTTTATATGATTAGCAAATATCGACATTTAAAATAATTTATGGCCTAAAACCCCAAAAGTTTTGCGAGTTAACAACATAAAATTTCCATAGGAACTCCCTTAGAACGTTACGTTCGCAATGATGCATTATTTACAGAAGCTGCTTTATTTTCTCTTTCAACACGGACGAAGTAGCGACTTTTTGGTTTTTCTCATATATCCTGTGAATACAAAATAAATACCGTCCATTTTCAAAGTCAGCTAAGTCAGTAAGAATTGATTGGTCGCCGTTTTATACACTTCGCATGACTTTCAGATTCTATGACATGAAATCTCCATTTGGTACTTAAAACGTTTTTCGCCTTTCTGTGAGGCAATTTAAAAATTTGTAAACTTTTCAGTTATAAAGAAAAAGTTTCTGGCATAGTAGCATCTTTATTATTTCTAAATTTGTAGATAAAAATATCACTACTTTTTGCGCTATGGGAGCTTAGCGTACGCAAAAATATACCTAAGTAAAATTAATATTTTAAAACTTTTTAAGATCACATTATATATTTAACAACACCTTTTTACTGTGCGTTAGGAAACCTAGGAGAGTAACAAAGATTAGACTAGGATATGAACATATTTTGATGGGATGGCCAATAAAACGTCAATATTCTCGTAATTAATGTATGTACTGCTTATAATATTGTACTGCTTTCTACCAAATATGAAGTAAAACTAAACTAAATATTCTAATTCAATTCAATTCTTTTGTTTAGTGGCTTCCAGGAGTGCCAATTGGGCACAATTTACTTCGCCAATGCCACGTAAAATGGAGATAACGTGTTCGAATATGTTATTAAAAACTTTCTTCTTACAAATTACTTGCTTATTATATCTACACTAAAAAAATGGAAATATAAAAACTTAAAAAGAAACCTACTTCCAGGCAATAAAATGTAAAAAATAACTAAACGGTGGTTCAGATATTTTCGAAATCGGTGCCAGCCGACAATATTTTAAATTTATTAGATTTGCTTTGCATCGGCCGGCAACGACTTCGATAATATCTAATTAGGTATCTATTCTAAATAAAAACCCTCGTTTAGTTATTTTTTACATTTTAGTGCCTGGAAGTCGATTTTTTTTATTTTTATTTTAAAAGTTTCAATATAATTACATAGTATAAATTCTGCATATAAATTAAAACCCTTACAATTTTGTGTGTATCTTTCATATGACTAATTTAAAATATGTAAAACTTTTTAATCCATTTCAACTTTAATGTATGTATAAAATACTTTTTTTGCACAGCCTTTTCTCCATTTAGGATATATAATACAGCATAATCTGTATATAAATAGGCAAAGACGAAATAGTTCAGCACCTCTTCTCCTATGTTTGTCAACCGATTTTTTTTGTTAAGTAGCTAACGAATTTTAGTGCTATCAATAAAAAAATGTGGAAAATAGTTTTTTTTATATATAGATAGGTAAATTCTATTCGTATATGTTTTCCTCAAATTTTTAATAATAATTACAGTAAAATTTTGACCACTGGGTGAAGAACACTAGTTGAAATAATAATATACACATAGCTATTTGAAATAGTACCTCCCTTGTCCTACCTCACCCACAACATTTATTTTACTGGTAAATATATACAATACACATAAATTTACCTTTGTATTATTTCCTAACCGCTTAATGACATAACTCATATATAAATGATACTGTATGAACCGTTTATCATCAAAATCCTTAAATGTTTAGGCCTACGTACCCGCAATGGCTATTAAAGCTCTTAAATCCTTTATTCAAGCGTAATATTCTCCATAAATTATAGTAATAAAATAAAAGATAATACCGCGGTTTAGAAATAACAATAAAATCTCTAGTGTTTTAGTCAAGTATGAACATAAAAAAATGTGAGGTAACAATAATAATGGCTTCTCTTGTATATATATTATACCTATCTCTTCTTCTTTCTCTTTTCTACTTTTCCCTTCTTAACTTCTCCCACGTTTTTCTTTTTGCTACCAATTCTCTATTCTATGATAATTGCTGCTACCTCAACGCCTTAGAAGTACAGCTATACACTCCAACATCTGCACAATATATTAATTAGATTTGTATTTACGTAAATTGAACCACGTTTTCGAATACGTTTAAATAATTTAAATAATTTCGAGTGACTTCTGTAAGCAAGACATTTATAAGGTTTACCTTTTTGACAGATTTTGTAAAAATCAAAAGTAGTGTAAAGGCGTATAATTATATATACACGGTTTTTATTTCTATTTTGAATTAAATAGTTTTACATTGCTGCATCGGCCATACCTCCTTTTCTCCATTCTCTATAAGTAAACTCCCTCTTAATTAAAGAAACGCTTCAATTTCCTAGAACGTCTCTTCCTTTTCGAATCTCTTTTTCTTCCCTTACATTCTGGCAATAGTTCTAGCCCAAAAAAATAATATTTATCGAAAAGAATCCCATGAAAACACTATAATAAAAATTCTAACCAACTCTAATCTACTTTACTAAACTAAACAAATAGACTTTTACTGGAAATCCTTCTGTCAATCTTGAAATAAAACTCACTATTCCAAAAATTACATCTTTATTATGCTACATAGTTTTGATTATGATATTAACATACTTATGTTCTTGGATAGAATGGATTCGGTACGAATATACTCGATGATTCTGAGCCCTTCCTCAATTCTATTCTGTCTGAAGATGCGATGGGTAAGCGATGTGTTTCTCCGGCCTAGATTCCAGTAAAAAGCAGCGAATTATTCCCAGGCTTCAGAAAAGTGACATGGAAGCTTAAAACAGCTCCACTATGGTATCGATCTCTTTGACGATTGACAACCATAAAGGGTTAATGGTATTGCTTCTGCCTTCTGGTGCCCCTGTTGAAGCAAAAATTTGAAAATTGCATTCAAAGTCTGATCACAACTAAGACGATATTTATGATAGGAAAATCCTGAGCAGTCTATAAGCATCATTCTGCATTATTAACTGAAGAACAGTCACTATTTTTAGATTGTTTTCGTCTAGGAATCATTGGAAAGACGCCAGATGGTTTCTAGATAGTGATCTTTCAATTTCAAGCTGCTACCAATTTTTGAACTGTTTAATTACATTTGAAGATGATGGAAATTTTATGCGATAGTTTTCTTAGTTACAAAGCACGAATAACCTAGTAGAGTACGCGAATTGATGACATCATCAAACAATTAATTTGATTACAACTATAATCTTTCCTGTACAGATCATGCATAAAATCTGAATTGTGTTAAAGAGAAAACTTATATCTTGATTGGAAAGAATTATTCTTATAACAATAGAGTCAAGATAATTTATGCAAAAATTTTTTAATAAATAAAAAAAAAACAGTTTTTTTTCATTGATAAACTGAATAACCATAGTCAAGCGTATGGGATTGATAACAAAAAATTTCCGAGTACATGTCTCATTCTGATAATGTCTACTATCAGTTTGTTTTTTAATGACTGATCGGAAAAAATAATAACTTCTATTACGTCACCAGGCCACGGGAATGTATGAGTTTTACAATGAGAATAAAAGTCTTAACTAAAAAAGAAAAGTAAGATTCTTAATTTTTAAAACTTTATTACAAAGACTAGACCGATCGATATAGCATGATTAAAATTGATATTTATTATAACATGGTCCTTGAAGTTAATAATTTTTACTATTTTTCCTTATTAAATTGAATAATATATTACTAATTGCTACTTCATTTTCGGAGTAATTATCTACTGTAAAGGAGCAAATACAGATAATTGGGTGGGCGTAATTATTGTTTATCTACTGCGCAGAACTAACTGGTATTGACCTGTAGACGCAATCAGTCAAGTTCATTCCCCCACCATCGGACCACGTCTTCTGCAACAATAACGCCTCAGTAGCCGCCGTTCGGTCGCTGATCGCCTGGCTGGGCCTCCCTGAATAGGGTCTCACCCGGCCGGGCTGATCGCCCGGGCGACTACCATTATGAAGCCTTAAGGGTCCCAGAAGGGCCCTCCCAGCGACGCGCCCATAGTTGTGGGCGGGGGAAGAACCCACGGTCAGGGGGCTATGCCCCGAAACCGTTTGCCCACTCCCCTTACGGGGATTGTGAGATGACCACGGAGCCCGGGTTTCAGTCAGTGAAGCGCTACGCGACTTTAACAACGTAATCGGTTGGAATAATAACATTTTTTTGTTACAAGAGATTTCTATCTACATTAAAAGGTCAGAATAATTTCTGATTTATTGAAAATATTTTTTTAAGTGATTTCCACAACGAAAAAAATATGTTTGTGATTCAGTGATAGTATTTAGTTCTTATTAATTAAGGCCCACTTGTTTATGATACAGCTAGAATAAATGTTGTTTTGATAATATTGTTTTACTTAGCATTGACGGAAATGTTTTGGATCGTTTCAGATGACACGTAATAATGATAAGCTGGCATTCTATGTTGTTCAATTCTTGGAATTGCCTTATGAAGGTATTGATGATTACGTATGCGTACCATACACTTGGCTAATTATGCGTGGAGGACAGGATGGAAAAGCTGTTGTTACCTACCCTACAGGTGAAGATCCTTCCCTCACAAGAGATCGCGTTAAAAGAAAGGAAAAATGCATTAATGAGTGGAGTTTTTTTTTGGCTGCTGTCAAATATCAGTCAAGTGAGTAAATAATTTCATTAGTCAATTCGTTGTGTTTTATCGCTAAAGTATGTTCAGATTCACAATATCTCAAAAATGAAGATAAAATAAGAATTATTTTTTTTTCTTTTCAGATAGTTACCAAAATGCAGAAACTTGGATAGCGTCAAGAAATGATCATCGACTTTTAGTAGAAAGAGAAACAAGAACAATGCCTGGTAAGAATCAAATAAATCTATTAGTCTTCACGATTGAATTTCTATTGAAAATACTTTTTCGAATATTACTTGTTTTAAATTTAAAGCTTTTGAATAGTAATAAAAAATTTTATTTATAAATTTATATTTATAGATACACTGCCGAGAACATTAATCAAGCGACCAACTTTACCAGAACTGAACGAACAACTTGATGGGAAACGGTTTAAACTGAAGAAAGCTGCTAAGTCATCTAGCGCTTCTGTTACCGACGCTAATACAGAGTCAAAAAGGGAACAATCGACCAGCATTCAAGACAACCCATCAACGAAACTCGCTCAGACACAAGAAACTGCTGCTGCTTCCAATATTAACTCGAGAACTGAACAAAGAACTCAAACTCAGCGTACCGAGCAAAACGAAGAAGCTCTATAGAGCTTCTTTGTTTTGCTCGGACATTTAAGTTTGTAACTCGGTCATTCTGATGTTAGGCTACATGTTGTGACAGTTTTCAAAGTGCAGCTCAGACACGGAAAGAATTACCAGCTCATATGTTTATAACATTGTGATATCAGTTAATGTTGAATTATTTGTATTTTTATGTAATGTATTTTTTCCTTTGAATTGATTGAGCACTCTGAATTTTTAATAATAATATTATAATAATTACAACTCATAGTTCTTGTTTTCTGTTAGATTGTCCGCCAACTGCTATGTGAACAAACATTGATAGGTTTTGTTACCACATGTTTTTGTTATATTTTATTCTATTCAATGAATCCATTGTAAAATAAACTGAAAAACAATTTGTTTTGGAGTTCCAGAGCACAATGGATTCTTCGGATCCGAGCAGGACCATCGTATAAGTGCACATCAGGTTAATATGATTGATAATGTATATATCGGCCAACATCAAATTCATGAAATTTATGGACCTAACATTAGAAAATCTCGGAACGTATATGACGGTAATTTCCGAGTCCACCATATTACAGGAAAGAACATCATGGAGAACGAAGGAGTAATTAGAGGAATGTATTGGAGTCATAAGAAGTCGCCAATGATTCAGATTGTTCCCGCTAAGGGATCAGGAGCCATGAAGAATTTTGTCACGTTACAAATGAACGTAATTGAAACAAGAAACAGATTTGGAGGTATTCACCGCAATAAGTTTCCATCTGGAAGCGGCGTCAGGCACTTCCTGAACGGATTGAAGAACCGACGTAACCCTAATGCACCTATTGTTCGAGAGATTGTGGATTTGTATGATGGACCACTTTCACACTGAAAGGCATACCAAAAGCAATTGTAATTTCAACGTTGTTATTATGTTTTATTCAATAAGTTCTAGATCCCAATTTGATTTAACCGTTCTGTTTTCAATAATTGTATAGAGTTCCTAGACTATATAGTTCTAAATATACATTGATTTTTATGTATTCAATTGTCTTTCTTTCAATTTTGCGATAATCAAGTTCTTATCACGCGGAAAAAAATATGATTCTAATTTTGTATCACCGTGGTGCTATTTTCGGCTCAGTGGTATAGTACATGCTGTGTTTGTATAATAAGTGTATAGATATAATACATAAGATACAAATTTAGAACCACGTGTAGATACAAATCTAGAATCACTTTTTTTCCATGCAAATCACGTTTCGAGGTCTTAAGAAGTAGTTCTAATTATTTTAATACAGATGTCGCTAGATATGTATTCATGTTAACTTCTTATAACTTTTGACCAACTTGACCGATCAAAATAAGACTTGCAGCATTCGAAAGAGTTTTATCTCAAGACCAAAATTTTAAAATTTGTTCAACGGATATGTTGAAAAAATTCTAATAAGGGTTGTTTATATATAACGTCGGAATTTTGCGTAACATCATTTTTAATCATCATCGTTGTTGCGCCTAAAAACTGTATCGAATGCTGTGAACCACATGACATTCAAAATGAAAAAAAAAACTGTTTTTCGAAGTCAAAAATGGATGTTTAAGTTCAAAATCATATGGCAGAAAATAAATTAAGCGTTTTGCACTTAGATTTAGCGAAAAAATTCAGGTATAGTCTGCAGGGTAAACTGTTTCTCAATTTTTTTTTAAATAAATATCAATTTTTCATCATTTTCCTATCGTTTTACTCATACCATCAGCTTCCTAAAGTAAACTACATTTTATAATATAATAGATGTGTACATCTAGTGATTCCTTGGAAAGTTTAATAGTATGACTTGAAATATTGCACCCAATATTGCCAATTATACCACTTACTAATTAGCATAGTTCATACACACTAAAAAAAAAAGATTTTTTTTTTCATTGTAGTGAAGCAGAAGGGTGATGTATTAAAAAAAGACAAGTACTTGAACTGATTATATTTGAACAGTAGTTATTATATCGAAATCTCATTAACAACGGAATCTACCGATATATAATGAGTCTCTAATAACGTGTATAATAATAATCATTATAATTTATCAAATAGAATAAAAAAAATTTATCGGAAACAGAATAGTGTATACAGTAGGTAAAATCCAAATAACAATGAAAAAACATGACGCAATAGAATTTATTAACATTTATTTATAGGGCAATTAGCGTACAATCTAACGGAAAACCAGAACCGTAGGTTATTATTATTATACCCCACTGTTGTACAAATGTAAGCTGGTAATTCTTTTTGTTTCTTAGCTGTGCTTTAAGAGCTGTCACAGCTTGTAGCTTAACACCAGATTGGTTGACTTATCCACTTGAGTCTGATTTATCTAATACACTGTTACTGGAAATCCTTCTGTCAATCTTGAAATAAAACTCAATATTCCAAAAATTACATCTTTATTTCTACATAGTTCTACATAGTTTCGATTATGATATTAACATATCTATGTTTTTCGATAGAATGAGTTCGGAGTGAATATACTCGATGATTCTGAGCCCTTCCTCAATTCTATTATAGATAAAGATGCGATGGGTAAGCGATGTGTTTCTTCGGCCTAGATTCCGGTAAAAAGCAGCGAATTATTCCTAAACTTCAGAAAAGGGACATGGAAGCTTAGAACAGCTCCACTATGGTATCGATCTCTTTGACGATTGACAACCATAAAGGGTTACTGGTATTGCCTTTTGGTGCCCCTGTTGAAGCAAGAATTTGAAAATTGCGTTCAGAGTCTGATCACAAGTGAGACGACATTTATGATAGGAAAATCTTGAGCAGTCTATAAGCATAATTCTGCATTATTAACTGAAGAACAGTCACTATTTTTAGATTGTTTTCGTCTAGGAATCATTGGAAAGACGCCAGATGGTTTCTAGATAGTGATCTATCAATTTCAAGCTGCTACCAATTTTTGAACTGTTTAATTACATTTGAAGATGATGGCTATTTTATGCGATAGTTTTCTTAGTTACATAGTACGAATAAACTAGTAGAGTACGCCAATTGATGACATCATCAAAAATTTATTTAATTACAACCATAATCTTCCCGGTACAGATCATGCATATAATTTGAATTGTGTTAAAAAAGAGAAATTTTTTATCTTGATTGGAAAGAATTATTCTTATAATAATAGAGTCAAGATAATTTATGCAAAAAAATTTTAATAAATTCAAAAACAATTTTTTTTCAATGATATACTGAATAACTACGAGTAAAGCGTATGGGATTGATAACAAAAATTTCCGAGTAAATGTCTCATCCTGATAATGACTACGATCAGTTTGTTTTTTAATGACTCGTCGGAAAAAACTATTACTTCCATTACGTGGAGTGTATGGGAGTCTGTGTTTTGTAATGGTCAACTGAAGTCATTTGAATGCCTACAAACTAATTCTATAAAAGCAATCACTGGCCAGGCATCACACAGTTAGCATCGAACCACCGTGGCGCAATGTTGTTCAGCAAAACCTTACTTGTTTTACTGATAGCCATCCTGGGTACCTCATGTAAGTTTTAGTGATATTTTCAATTGAAAATGATTTCAATTATTTATGAAATACATAAAAAAAATTGGAAGTGGATTAGATAGTTATATTTTCAATTTTTGCTTCAACAGGGATACCGGACGGCAGAACCAATGGATTAGCTTCTGGTTGCTGGTCCAGTGTGAAACGACCAGAACAATGCGTGGAGAAAAAAGATCCCACAAAAGTTTCCACGATTGATGACATCCCTCAGGAAGATGATGAATTCGCGCCTCTGACTGTTGGCATTTGGGTCGAGAATAAATATTATCGGTTACCCAACGCACGTTTCTACAAAGTAGAAATTAAGGAAGGCACAGCACGTTCGTTTACACACGTTCCGAATCCTTACTATAGAGGACCGATTATTATCAAAGATTAATCAGCCACGAAAAGTGCGATTGTGAGCACAATTAACTTTATACTCTCTAGAAGACTGTGTCTAATTTCAAGATTGATAGAAGTACTTGTCTAGTAGAAATATACTTGATCGCATTTGAGTTTGTGACTCAGTCAATCTGATAATAGGCTATATGCTGTGACAGTTTTCGAAGCGCGGCTAAGACACAGAAAGAATTACCAGATCGTATGTTTATAACTGTGTGATATCAGTTAATGTTGAATTATTTGTATTTTTATGTAATGTATTTTTTTCTTTAAATTAATTAATTACTCTGTATTTTCAACCGACTTCAAAAAGGAGGAGGTTCTCAATTCGACTGTATGTTTTTTTTTTTTTTTTTATGTTTGTTACCTCAGAACTCCGTCATTTCTAAACCGATTTGGACAATTTTTGTTTTGTTTGAAAGGGTATACTTCCAGATTGGTCCCATTTAAATTTCAAAAAAAAAATACCACCCCTAAGGGTGGAAAAACAACTAATGATGAATTTAACCTACTTCTAATTGTCATATTGACTTGAAACTTTGCAAGTATTTCTATTTCCGTTGATAGTACAGTGGTTCGGTGTTGTTGACCTGATCTGATGGCAAGGCCAGAAGGTGGATAGGTGGAACTCTTCAACGGCTAATAGTAGATACTTTGAGTTTGGGCTTATTTTGTTTGATTTGACAAGCCTAACACTTTAGAATCCTTACTAAGCTACTACTGTCTACACTAAAAAGGGAAAAATAAAAACTTTTTAACAAAAAAATAAAAACCGACTTCAAACAAAAGCACTAAAAAGTAAAAAATAACTGATTGGTAGTTTTCATTTACTATACATACCTAATCAAATATTTTCGAAGTCGGTGTGCTTTGGCTAAGTAATTAAAGCCTACCTATTAAATACATACCTAATCAAATGTTTTCGAAATCGGTGACAGCCCATACAAAGCAAAGCACACCGACTTCGAAAATATTTGATTAGGTATGTATAGTAAATGAAAACTACCAATCAGTTATTTTTTACTTTTTAGTGCTTTTGTTTGAAGTCGGTTTTTATTTTTTTGTTAAAAAGTTTTTATTAATAATAATAATAATAAAATTACAATTCATGTGAACAAACGTTGATAGTGATTGTGATCACATGTTTTTTTTTATTTCATTCTATTTAATTAACCCATTGTAAATAAATTTATTGAATTTGATTGGTAGTTATCATTTTTTTCACAAATTTACCTATTTCCGCCAAAAATTGCATCTAATTTGAATACTTGGTAGCAAGTATACAATAACATGGTGGCACTTCTGTAAGTCACAAATTTATCCTATAAAAAACCTTTAACAAAACTTCTGTATAATTTTATCCTTACTTGGCTAGTTTTTGTTGATCAAGAATATATTTTGTTTAAAAGAAAAAACTTGAAATATCTTAATGATCACAATAGTGTTAAATGTACCTGTTAAAAATTATATATAGTAGTTTACTTTTCCATATGAGAGATTACTAGAGGGAGGGATTAGTAATGTTTGTTTATTTGTTTGTCTGCAGTACCAAGCAGCAGCGGGAGGCAGATGGCCGGTGGGCAAGAACGGCGACTTCTCGCTGCAAGGCACGTACAGGCGCCAGGCGGGCATGCGGCGCGAGTACGGCGGACTCGCTAACTTTAACTATCGCTGGTGATTTATCACCTAACACATTATTGTATAAGAGTTTAAGTCTGTGATATTCAATAAAAAAAATTATAAGGTATACATTGTTTCACTTTTTTGCTAACATTCTTCAAAACTATACATAAACTCAATGGCTATGACTGTGATATAATATAAAATATAGAAATATGTAAGTAAATTCGATAAAATTGTCATCCTTATTTTAATAATTTATAACATTTAACTTTCTGGTGTTATCTATGGAACTTGAAATTAAAAAATGCTTATTAAGCCGCTAAGATCAATATTATGCGATAGGACGGCGCCGTATTTTGACGCGCTTGGCTGGCTCTTGCAATATAATTTATACGATCACAGAGGCTAGGGAATTTATAATCACTTGTATGTAGACAATTAGGTCAATAAAAATATATTTGTTTATTTCTCAGCATACGTAAAATAAATCCGAACTTATCTGTCTCTTCCTGGCTGTGTCCCACATGGTGGTAGGGTCAGCTTTCCGTATTTTTCTTCTCCACTTCGTTCTATCGGAGATATCGTCTTCGGAAAGCCTGCACTCCTTCATGTCCTTTGACACTACATCTTTCCATCTAGTTTTCGGTGTACCTCTGGATTTTCGACCTGGGATGGAGAGTTGTAGTACCAAATTCTCCACGTAGTCAGGCGAAAATAAATCTGAACTTATAAAAACACTAATACAATAGAAAACTACCGTTGAATTTATGCATTTTTTTAAGTTTTGTAGGTACACACAAATATATATGTATATATATATATATATATATATATATATGTATATATATATATATATATATATATATATGTATATATATATATATATATATATATATATGTAGTATCGTAGTAATTAACAAAAGCCAGGAAAAGGGTCACTATGAATGCAAGACTACTAAAAAATTTCGTAGATTTAATAAAGAAATACAGTTATATGAATTACTAATGATGTCTAAAAAGCTACACATACAAACATCTTTTCACAATGCTACTGCTGTGAAAGGTACGGGTTCGTCTTCCGCAACTGTAATACTTTCTTAGATTTACGCGAATATTTGACATTTTAAATAAAACTATCTCTTCGAATTTTTTCGCGCATTTATTTTAATTTTTGGTTCCTGACCTTTTGAATGCTTTACAGTAACCTTGGTCTCTCTCGAGACTATGAAAAGCATACATGCTGTAAAGCATTCGAAAGGTCCAGAACCAAAAATAAAAATAAACCCGCAAAAAAATCTCAGAAGATTCTGTTCAAGAGAAGAATTCATTTTTATTCCGCAACTGCGTTTATCATAATTCTGTTAATTATATCATTTGTACATAAGTGATAAAAAAATTAAACCATGACATATAAAATGACCTCTTAACTAATAAAAAACGCTTGTGTTGTTGACCACAAGAAAGGATCAGATTTAAAACTAAACCTACTGGCTTAATTTGAGTTACAACTAATTAACCTTTAATATTCGTCTTGGATCATACAGATATACGCGAACGAAATCACAAGTATTAACTAAATATACCGATAGAGCTAATTGTGTATTCCCTAGAGCTGGGTAAAAATACCTATTTACAGCAATGTTATATTACGCATAAAGGGTTTCGTACCATTATCTATAAAAATAGCAAAAAAATCACGTTTGTTGTATGGGAGCCCCCTTAAATATTTCTTTTATTCTATTGTTTTGTATTGGTTGTTATAGCGGCAACAGAAATACCATCATCTGTGAAAATTTCAACTGTTTAACTATCACGGTTCATGAGATACAGCCTGGTCACAGACGGATAGACAGACGGACGGACAGCGGAGTCTTAGTAATAGGGTCCCGTTTTACCCTTTGGGTACGGAACCCTAATAAACTACTGTAAAATACTCTGTTGTGAACGCAGAGCCCGAACCATACTCGAAACGTGCTGTTTCTCGATAACCAATCACAGCGCGAGGACCTTGGGCCCCCATCAGCTGCTGGCATACCTCGATAAGCTATCTTTCTTATATCTAAAAAGACTTTTTTGTAGTACTAATTTGTAAACTTTATTTACGTCTGGGAAGGGTTTAAAATCGCTAAATTCGTTTGGCGATTTGCAAATATTATTGAAAATTACTCAATAAATACGTGATTAAAATTTCAGATTGCCGAAAGTATGTTTTTTGGAATAAAAAAAAAGAGTCTTTGGAGAGGTCTGGCAATACTTTATAACCGACAAAAACATCTGGGGTTCTTTTTTTTTTAATTATATGAAAGCTAAATTAAAGGATTAAATAAAAATCAAGTTGCCAAAAATATGTTTTTTTGGATATTTTTTTTGCAAATGTTGTATACTGTGCAGTAGCGAAATAACCGCTAAAGCTTTACCAGACTCGCAGGACTGGACTCGCCAATTCACGAAATTATATTTTTTCACAATTTCAACTTGCCAAAAGGACCTTCCCAAATTTCGTCATGAGCTCTCGGGCTACTATGTTACAGCGACGGTAGCCACTTACCATCAGTTAGAACATCACTCGTTTCGCTCCTTATTTCTAGAAAAAAGTTATCGTTATTTTTCGACTATACTGTACAGTGTAACTTAAAAATATTTGCTTTCATCTAAAAATCTATTTATTACTATATTTGTAATCGCCAAGATTGTATCAAAGAGCTTCATAATATAACAAATTACTTGATTCTTTGTAGAGATCGCATGTAAACAGCGCTCAGAAACTGGGATGTAATTTGTAAAGTTTATAATGAAATATTCGCTGAAGACGGTGAGTTTGTTATAGAGCGGGAAACGGAAGTTCAAAATACTAAATATTGTGATACACCGAGATATTTGTTTTTTTTTTTAGTTATTCAAGTTTACTTTAATAGGAAGGTTTATTTTTGATATATTTATATAATAAAATACGACAAGCAAATTAAAATTTATATATAAATACATATATGTATGTATTTTATACACAACAGAAAAACAATCGTGTATATGATTTGTCTTTTTAAGTAAAAAAAAAACAAAAGGTAGTCAAAAACTATTAAGCTATTTATAAATAAAAATTTAAATTTCTGCACGAATCTATGAATCAAATCAAAACAAACAACTTTAAAGAGTAAAGTTAAATAAAATTACTTACAATTTCAATTTTATCAGAAATGTTACACAATGTATTTGCACATGTATAAATAAAGTCCTATCCTCGATATTGTATATGTTATTATGTTCTAAAATTTGCTGGCATAAAATCTAAATTATTGATTTTGTTCACTTAAAACTCATACTCTCTCATAACACTATTATATGTCTGTAAAAACAAAAAATATTAGTTAAAAATATTTCTTTCTAAAAAAAAATATTTTTTCCATTGCAGTGCTAAGCTCATTGTACCCCCAGCTCGTGTAAGACGAGGCCCGTTCCGTCGAAGCGCGAAATGGAACTGGCGAGTTGTCTACAAAAAGACCTATCTCAAGTTATAGCCGTCAAATGACGTCCTTTCACGATGCATTGCACAAGGGAAATGGAATGAACACTTTATAAGTTGTGTTTTAGAACTTTATTCAAATATAACGATACTCACCGACTTAGTTTAAATTTATAATCTTGTTAGTTTTAAACCGAGGCTCTGCTCGTATAGTACGTATTAAAACTATATGTTAATCCAAATTATAAGGTATCTCCATTCCAAATTTCACTAAAATATGTACAGCTGTTAAAGCGTGAAGAAATAACAAAAGTGTGCTTGCTCACTCACTAGCTATTAGAATTATATTAGTAGGTATGACGAGTAGTTCTAAATGATGATAGATAATTCAACGGAATTATCGCTAAGCTCTTAAAACGTTAAGAGCTTTTAAAATGAAAACGAAAGCTTTTTTACAAGCTTTTATTTGTTTCGCCTATCTTAATGTCTGTAGTAATCAAATCTTGGAAGTTTTTGATGCCTTTAATGCCAATTGAACTGAAATTTTGCACGCATATTATGTAAATCGGATGACAATTTAATTATGACATAGAGTTGATCTGACGATGGAACCGGAAGGTAGCCATGAAAACTCTGTAATAAAACGACGCAAACCCAATTTTCGGTTCAATTGATTCGTTTAATTAATTACATTTTAACTGTAAGAGAGAGAAAAAGAGTTTGTAACGCGCTTTTATTTATAAACTTTAAATAGATAATTACACAAAGATTTAATATATGAAATTAAGTTTCAAGGTTTGAGGATATATAATTATAGTGTGGAGTAATTTCGACATAGATGAGAGAGGGGTTTTATAATCGTTTAAAGATTAAGAAGTATAAAACGGCTTATTTCCAATCAGAATAAAGTTAATTTTAACTTTTTAGTTCTTATTTAGTAACTACTAATAAAAAGTTTAAGGCAGTGGTAGCCCAGTGGTAACGCGCTCGCTTGGGAAACCGAATAAAGTGGGTTCAAATCCCGGGTCTCGCACCTCTGATATTTTCAAGTGCGAATTATTTCTAACATGATTACCACTTGCCTTACGGTGAAGGGAAACATCGTGAGAAATTAATGAATGTCTGAGAGAACCTAGCAAGTTTTCGAAAGACATGTCGAAGGATGTTGTTTCGAAATCCACCAACCCGCACTTGGCTAGCGTGGTGGACTATGGCCTGATCCCCCTCGTACTGAAGGGAGACCCGTGCCCAGCAGTGGGACGATAAAAAAGGCTGAATACACTTAAATATTTCTAAATATTAATACAATAAAAGCTTGTTTTAAAAAACAATTAGAGCCACCTGTATTTTTACATAATAATAAGAAAAGAGTTTTAATATAACCACACATCATATAATTCTGTACTCGTAAGAACTTAATAAGGTACTATGACATAATATAAATAAAGTAAATATGTATTGATAACATATTCACATAGCAAATGAATCATAAAACTATGAAGATAAAACAAGTAATTAAGCTCTTATCATTTTCGCTGCAAATATCTTAATTTTACGTGTACGGGGAAGAACTAAGTTCAAGGACTTACAAGGAATCCCCCGAAGTCTGGATGATGATATATAAACATGTTCATATCTCAACAGCATCATTCTCGTAAGGAATATTGTACATATTATTTATTGAATTGAATAAGCATTTATTCGTAATATTTCATTTATTACGGAAATTGTTAATGATAAAATATTTAAATAACAAAATGCAGTGCTTATATATTCTTCCTGCGGTTTCCCTCGCTATAGTAGCTCAGGAGTATCAATGGCAGCCCGACGCTTCGTAAGTATACCTAGCTATTGTAAATTTATTTTAAATTTATTATTTATTTAAATTTACACTTAAATAATATTGCATTTGTACCAATCGTACATTAATGACTTAAAAAGTTCCTTTAACTTTGAATGCTCGATAAGTCTTGTCTTATTACTTCAAGTTCCAATTAACATAAATGAAGATATGATATGGCTAGAATAATTCAGATTAATGTGGTTATAAACTTTTTAAGTCACCTTATTAAGGGGATGCGCGTGCGCTTATATTTGTTTTTTCCGCCTATTACTTTCAAAAGTTAAATACTTTTCCTATTAACAAAAAAAAGGAACTGAAATTTTAAAATTTTTGAATTCTATTATAATATTTAACAATATTTTGCTTATTATCCTTCAGCTACCCAGTATGGTACTTGGGTAAAGAGCTCGCGAGAGAGCGTCGAGACGTCACACTCGACAAACAGATCGGCGACGGACGTGTGTTTGGGACACTCGGACAGAACGATGCTGGACTATTTGTAAGATGTTATGTTTATACTGATTTATTAATTAAGTGTTCATAAATTTTACTCAATGACTAAACTGAGCCCGACCCGGGACTCGAACCCAGGACCTCCGGACCTGCATGGTGCGTACATGCTATCCACTAAGCCTTCGAGGCAGTTTCAAACTGTGTGGCTGAAATTGGTCAAGAGAATATGCTAACCACAAAAGGGCTAGCTTAAAATGGGAAACTATATTATTTGAAAATGGCATATTGTAAAAGAATTGAGATTAATATTCAAATTAAAACCTATTTTAGGGTAAGGGAGGTTATGAGCATCAATTCTTCAACGACGACCGCGGCAAGTTAAATGGACAGGTGTACGGCACGCACGTGCTGGGGCCGGCCGGGGACTCGTCTAGCTTCGGCGGGGCCCTGAACTGGAAGGACCCCCACGCAGCCGCCTCCTTCGACATTAGCAAACAAGTGCATAGCGGCACTTCTGTAAGTTACACATTTATCCCATAAAAAACCTTTAACAAAACTTCTGTATAATTTTATCCTTACTTGGCAAGTTTTTGTAAATCAAAAATATATTTTGTTTAAAAGTAAAAAAACTTGAAATATCTTAATGATCACAATAGTGTTAAATGTACCTATTAAAAATTATAGTCGTTTACTTTTCCATATGAGAGATTACTAGAGGGAGGGATTAGTAATGTTTGTTTATTTGTTTGTGTGCAGTACCAAGCAGCAGCAGGAGGCAGATGGCCGGTGGGCAAGAACGGCGACTTCTCGCTGCAAGGCACGTACGGGCGCCAGGCGGGCATGCGGCGTGAGTACGGCGGACTCGCTAACTTTAACTATCGCTGGTGATGTGTCCTGACCTTTATTGTATAAGTATTATGATTGTGATATTAAATGTTTTTAATAAAAATATACTGTATTTCATTTAACTCACATAATACATACGTACATTAGTGGAAATAAATGTTGATTTGTGGAAATAATTATAACTAAAAGTGTTGTGTAATTAATAGAGTTTTAAATTAAAAATAAAATTAAACAATAAGTAAGTTTATTAAAATAAAATATCTAATGATAATGAAAAAAACGGCCGTATAATAATAATGTTCTCCCGAACGATTCCGGCCACGGCGGCCAATCTCATTGAGACTAGCCAACTGCGCAGGAGATATTATAGTGCACAAGTGTATGCGCAGACACAGGTGCACTCTCTATTCCTTTTACTCTCATACTCCGGTGGGACGACTATTGGACACGACCAAAGTCAGGCGCAGGACCGACGGTTTTACGTGCTCTCCGAGATACGGAGATGAAACACAGCCAACTATCCATTTACGAGCTGTTGATTAAAATTTCTTAACAGAAAAACTCAATAACTGAACTTGACCCAACCCGGATCTCGAAACCAAGACCGTAAGATTTGCTGTATATGCTAGCTACTAGACCACCGAGGCAATTTACCTATGTATAGACTTACATAAAGTTTATTTATATTTTTCACAATATTCAAATTCATTCAATTCAAATTCAAAATATTTTATTCAGCATCAAATTATTACATTTTTTTAACGTCATGAGTTTACTCCCAGTTCCGAAAGAAGAAACCTTAGACCTGAGAAGAACTGGCAAAAGAAACTCGGGACTAATACTATTTCTTTTTTTTATATATCAATCTATCTATACCGATTGCGATAAAACTCTAACAGTTCTATTTATAAAGCACTCTATATACCTGCACAATTTTTTTACCGTAAGGTAACAAAATACATACGAAACACTAATCTTTATATTTTAACCGATAGTTAAGATGGCGGTTCTCATTCGATTACATTTGCCCCTGATAGTAATTTCCATTTGCCTTGTTACTGTATCGGGGCCGCCAATTAAGGTGAACTCTCCATTTGAGCGTACTCTGGTGTAGCCATGGTTATAACTTTTAAAGGAATTATGGTGTCATAGTAAAATGATAAAAATTCCCATATACCGATATTTGAATATTTTATTCACTAACATCTTTTTTTTATTTATATTAAACTAGTTAGACTAACTACACCCGGTTTTGCTTCGAACAGGCTTTATATTTGAACATTATGTACTATAGAGATTATACATAATTGATTTAAGTAATAATAACGAACCTATATAAAAACACCCAATAATATACAATACAGTATACTAGAGTACAGTATAAGCACCCAATAACATACAGTAAAGGTTAATATACCGTTCATTTCAAACATTCATAAAAAAACATACAGTCGAAAATAGAACCTCGTCCTTTTTTCGAAGTCGGTTAAAAAAATCCTTTCTTATAAAAATAATTACATTTCAAAGTACTAAAAAATGCTAACAACGAAACTTTTTCTTATTCTTATCGCTCTTCCAGCAGCTTTTGACAATCATAAATATCATGTAAAATGTTAAACTAAACGAGTTTACGATTGAAACAAGCCTGCTTATAATTAATTACATTAACTCTAGCTTATATTTCACTAGCGACTTACCTCGCTTCGCTCGGGTTCGTTCCTTTTTTTTTTTTTTTTTTTATGTCGGGAAATGCATTTACGCATACCACCTGATCCCCCAGATGATGATGTGGGGCTCACCGGCTAGAAGAGCCGGTACTACCCACTAAAACCCGACATTCCCCTCCCCTCCGCCTTAATGGGACGCCGCAGGATCGCTTGCGCATAACTACTACGGCGCCCCGGCGGCAGGTCTGCCAACGGCTGACCACCACACCGATGGGGCTGCTCCACAGTCAACTCTGCTACACCAGAGAGGTACCCGGAGCAGCTCCATAAAACTGAACCTCCGCCCACCGAAGTGGGCCACCTCAAATTGGCTGCAGAGGACAGGGAGAGCGGCAACGAAACACCGACACTCCTCTTCCCCTGCAGCCCCACCGCGTCCGCCATCAAACGGTGGTTATAATAGTAGTGTAAATTGCGAATTTCAGTTTAAATTAATAACTATTTTTTATTATATACCTAATGTTTTTTCGTTGTCAATGTTTCTGAATTATTCCGATGAGATGGCAAGATGAGTATGTTAATCTCTTTAAAAGAAGGGGGAGGGATGGGAAGCAGTCAATCTATCCCAAATAGGTCGTTTTGTGCTTGAATTGCACTGACTGATTGTTCGCTCGTTCTTATCTATACTTCCGGTTTTGCAAGATATAAATTATTATGCAAATATTTACCGCTCTGTTTATTATATTATTGCTTCAATGTAACTAGAATGTGAAGATAATAGACTTACCACGGTTGGGTAACTTGGAATCTTCCCCACAAAGAAAACTGCGTAAGAATTTCAAAAACTATTCCCATTAAAATATTTCCGAATATGAATTTCATCTAGTTGCAAAACCAAAGAGATTTACTTATAATAAACCTTACTCTTCATCGAAGATTAACAATAGCCTAAGAAAGTCAAAAGCATGGTGTCTCTAGCTAAAGGGTGAGTACGTAGGTCGAGATTAAATGCTGTTACCGAAGTCTCATGCGGTTTGGGTGTTTCGCTTCGCTTCTTGATGCCAATTATATGTCATCTTGAGGCTTTTATCAAATAATGGATGTTGATTACTTCCATTATAGAAGTCTGACGCGTCAAAGTTCACTTCCCTGCCTGAAAAATATAGTCTTATATCTATATAAACATATATAATTTTATTTAAACGCTTAGTATGGATAGATATACTATATTTTATATGATATATAGCCTATAGCCTTCCTCAATAAACGGGCTATCTAATGCAAAAAGAATTTTTCAAATCGGATAGTTACTGAGATTAACACGTTCAACCAAACAAACAAACGCTGCCTGTTCATAATATTAAGTATAGACACAATATTTATTTTCCGTATATTAAATTTCTCAGAAGACTCTAATATTCAGAGAACTCATAACATCTTTAATTATATAAAAATTATAGAATAAGCTTAAGAATGTTATATTATTTTCTAAATTATCTGAGCTTTCATTTTTTATGAACTTTTCTCCACATCTGCAAGAAACTTTTAGACAATATTTAGCGTTTGTCATTTACTTTATTTGTTACAATTATAATACCTTTACCATAAAACTTTAAGCATACACTAACCTAACTTGATTGATTAAAAAAGCATGACGTGCGTAAGTCACTCATTATGTATATTTGGTATACGCTGTCTAATATACACAAGATATTTTCTTCATACAAAACGCTTTATAATTAACTAAAAGCTATTTGTTCACGTTGAAAACCATTGACTACACACGACGCTCAATTTGGTATTCCTTTTAGAAATCGATTTAGATGTGAAGACGATTTACTCGTAGATGCAACAAAATCAAACTAAATCATAAATTCGTGTATTTTGTCAAAATCTTATTAGTTGTAGTTAAATGTTCTCTAATTTTAACTAACTTTCGTCGTACACAAGCAAGTGAACCGATAAATTAGAGCCAGGCTTTAACTAAATTTGGCTTCATGCAATCTTAATTGCTACGAGCAATGTTAGTTTGCAGTGATCTTGTTGGAGATGAAGTTACAACTTTTGGTATATACGCCAAACAGTTCAAAATCATTTGGATAAACAAACTAAGAGAGTTAGTTGCTTCTAACGAAATAAGATACGACACGCGATATCGAGCGCGTTAGTTATACATCAAAATTTTATCCAAATCCATCCAGCCATATCAACGTAAAGGAGTAACAAACATACATACATATACATCGATCGAAAAAGTACTAGATACACAAACCCATGCGAAAGTTCTCTTAAAGCTTAAACCGATTGTGTTTATATAATAATTCTAGTTGAAATAGATATACAACAGTGTAAATTGAACCTTAAATGCAATGCTTAAAGTTGTTTTCAAAAAAAATTAAAAGCGCGCTCAAATGTTCAAATGAGCCCTCCTTCGGTGAGGACATTTTTGTTGCTGATTGTGTATCTAGTACTTTTTTGATCGATGCATACATACAAATTTTCGCATTTATATTAGTAATCCGATTATAAAAAAAAATATATCATTTATGTCTATGGAATATTAAATTAAAAAAAACTACAGAAAAATTAAAAATATAGAAGCGTAACCGTATTCATACGAGTATAATCTCTCACTGAAACAATACCCGACAAATTTTTTTTATAATAATTTTTGTTTAAAATCCTAGATAGAAGTATTCACTTATAATATTTCCATTATTATTAATTCTTCAGTTTATTTAACTTTCTTAAAAGCATACTGAGTTGTTAAATTCTTATGTTAAGAAAATATTTTAACTTCTTATAAAGCTTTATGTTGAACCGCTATGGGATTTGCTTCATTTTCCCACATTAACTTTACGGCACTCCCTAGAGTTAAAGATCCCGAAACAAGCAATATTTTACTTAACTTTTTTTCTATTTATATTTAATATATAAGTCGCTGTAGACGTATAAGCCCAAAAGACCATTAAAAACCCTGAATAGACGATTCTGAATAAAGTGACATATATTATTTGTGATCTCAGAAAAGAAAAAGGATTCCTTAGGGTTAGACTTCAGAGGATAGGCAAAGAAAAGTTTAATTTAACAGTATTATTATCATCTATACATATAATAAAATTCTAACAAAGTTGAATCTGTACATTAAATATTTTTTGGAAAATCTTATTGAAATAGTTATTATTATCGATACAGAGGCCAAATCTATAGTTTTTAGAATTTTTGTTTGCCTGTCTCTCTGTCTGTCTGTCTGTCTGTCTGTCTGTCTGTTACCGCATCACGGAAAAACCACTGGAGGGATTTTGATGAAATTTGGTACGATGATAGCTGGTTATCCGGGTCAACATATAGAATACTTCTTATCGCGAGAAA